TTTTTCGTTGAAAATTTGATTCATATCCGCTTAAACAAATCAATTTGAATTCGGATTGAAATCCGGTCCATTGACAGACTTACTTATACGCATTCAATGACGGGAGGAAAAGTAGTTTTGCCATAAATGATACATAAGAGCAGAAGTTTGTAAAGAAATTAATGTATGTTTATAATGCTGATCATATTGTTTGAACACTGTACTCTTGATGTTAGACATAGCTATAGAACTGGGGAGCACATCATATGGATTAAGCACAACAGGTAATTCTCCAGAAATGGTGTGAAAAGCTGCCAAGTGCAAGCCATTTCCTCCAGCAAGCAGACTCATCCGCCCTCTTCCACAAGCTCATCAGCTAGGCGTAGTTGAGCCCAACTGAGCACCTTCTCCTTTATATTGCATCAATTCTAATATCAGAACTAAACTGACCTCTTGAAGGACAAGAAATCAAGGTACCATGGTGAAATGGAAGCATCTAAACTTCGAAGTTTGAAGGATTTGAACTTGTATAGAAATCTATTATAATAACTGCACTGACGACTTTCATGTCTTCTTTTCATCTCTCCTTAAGTATCAATCTGTTATAACAGAGAAAATGAAGGCCGAAATGTGCATACTACATTGATAGAAAACTGAACACCTGCATGAAAATTCTGCATATGAAAATCAAACTTGATGGGAGGAAGATTTTTCTGTATGACTTACGTTTATCTTTTCTGGAAGTTAAATGTCTTGATTGAAAAGGCAAAGATGAATCCAAATAGCACAGCTATTCCAACGATAATGATTGCAACATTTGGCACGAAATCATGTTTGAACCCAAAGTAACTCCTTATAAAATGTTCCACAGTTTCGTGTGTGTCAAGCTCATCCTTTATGTCTCCAAACTGGGAAGAAACTAATCCATACAAGGTCCAAAGATGGGGCAAATGTAATAGTACCATCTCCACCACACTGGAATTCTCTGTTATGAAGGACCAACAAAAGGTAGTGGGGGGGGGGGGGGGGGTAAGTTTTAGTAGTACAGAGTTGAGACCACATTTTGTAAAGAGATTTATACGAAGTATTGTTTCTTACTGTCAGGGGAACAATGAATCCGGAGAAGAGGTTCCATATTGCAACAAAGGCTGATGAAACTATGGCAGCAATACTGTGGTTCGGAGTCACTGCCACGAGCATCATCCCATACAATGCGTAGTATAATAAAGTGAAGTACATGAAGAAAAGATACCAAAAGAACTTGGTAACTGTCCACTCAAACCCAATCATGGCATAGACTATGACACCATAGATGACTGTTTGTACGAAAATGTAGGGCAACTCAATCACAATCTGCATAACAAAGAAGTTGGCTGTAAACTTATTGAGAAAATTGCAAGAATGCTTGAAAATGTCTTTCGATTTCTTTTGAAAGTGAGCCAAATTTTTTGTATGCACAACAGCACAAGTCACAGTCACATTTACTATACTAATAGTTTCCCAGATTTGGATCTCCTCCATTGCACTATCCCACAAATTAGCTCAAAAGTTAATTATCTGCTATGAATTCAAGTGGGATCCACTATATATGAGTGGGTCCCATGAATACACTGTGGATTATCTAAAAGTGTACTGAAGGAAATTTGTAAGCTTGTCGAACACCAAATTGTTTGTAGAATTGCCAAATATATGACTTTCTGTCATGCTAAACAAGTGACATAAACATAAACAAGTGACATACCTGTCCAAAAGAATAAGGCAGAGCGGAATACATTCCGGCGGCTCTTTCCCTGTAAAAGACTGTTCTCTCTATAGCAACAATGGGCTGCACTGATATACAGTTTTGTGCACCGAGAAATAAAACAGCAGTGTACATAGTTCCCATTGCATTAAAGAGATCTTGCTGCCTTCTCCTGAAACTCAAAAAATAATATCTGAATTAATTGAGGGACTGAAAAAGGGAAAAATCTGTCGAAAAAAATTATTTTTGGATTTCTCAATCTATTTACCTTTTGGAGCCAAGATCCCAGAACATTGTCCCAAACATCAAAGCTGTGAAAGTAGTGAAGAGAAGTCTCACTGCATTGTAAGGCGGGTTTCGCCAATATGACCAATGTTGTTTCCATAGGCAAGCCATACATTGTGTGAAGAAAGATTGCGAGTATTGAGTAGGGAAATGCAAATCTTTGCAACCTGGTGCAGGTATACCGAGTTCCTTGATCAATGTTCTGTTTCTCCTGAATCATTCATCTAAGAGTATTAATCCATATAGTTCAAATTTACAGCTACTCCAAGATGTTGAACTCTGACCCATTGTTTCGAATTCTTAGCATCTTTTCATCATTCTTCTACATTTTGATATTCTTGATTTTGACCATTATAGCAATTGTGAACTTAAGATTTGATCTAAACAGTTGAAAAAGAAGTTAAAATTCGAATATAATTCTCATGGCCCAACCTGTACAGTTCTGAGTTCTTATATACTTCGGCAAAGTTAATACCAAGAGCTGCTTCTTGGGCATCTGAAGTCACCTCCAACATCCAAGTTGCTGGATTATAACCATCTCTTATCTTAATAACTCCATCGACTCCCTTGAGAAAGCATAAGTTGATGTTTTTAGTATTTCAGAGGAACATAAAGCGAAATTTTGATGATCTTATGTAGTCATCAGCCTCACCTCAAAGTACTTGATCAGCTTGGAAGAATGGAAGCCTATTGGGCCAACATATATTTCTTCACCTCCTCTTTTCAATAAGAGTAGCTGCGGGACAAAGCAATGGCAATTTTATTTTCTTGACAAACTTGAAAAAAAAAAAAATCTTCTGGATGTTCAAGTTTGAAAGATCAGCCACCTCATCAAAAGCATCAAATATATCAATGCTTGGCTGATGGATGGTGCACACCACGGTTCGTCCTGTATCTACTGTGTTTCTCACTGTTCTCATCACAATTGCTGCAGCCCTGGCATCTAGTCCTGAGGTTGGCTCATCCATGAATATTATAGATGGGTTAGCCACCAACTCAACCGCAATCGTTAGCCTCTTGCGCTGTTCGGTTGAAAGGCCATCAACACCAGGCAACCCAACAAGTGCATCCCTTAACGGGGTTAGCTCCACAAGTTCCATGACTTCCTCAATGAACATCTGTAATCCATTGGTAAGGTTTAAAGTCGAATGTTAAAGCCCACAGAATCTGGAGATATGTTAATCCTAGCAGAATTTAATGATTAGGAGTCACCTTCTTGGTTCCACTGTCCACTTCAGGAGGCAACCGAAGCCATGCAGAATACTGCAAGGACTCATAAACTGTTACCTGAGGAGAGTGAATATCATTTTGCTCACAATATCCTGCTATACGAGCAAATGTTTCTTGCTTCTTTGGGTACCCTGATATTGTGATCCTTCCCTCAATATATCCACCCGTTTTTCTACCAGCCAAGACGTCCATCAGAGTTGTTTTACCAGCCCCACTAACACCCATTAAAGCTGTAAGCACTCCTGGCCTAAAAGCACCACTTACACCTTTCAGAAGTTCCAGACGGTCTTCAAGAATACCCTGAGCTTTCATTTCCTACCATGATAGTAATAATTTCAAAATGTGTGAGCTATGGAGAACTCATCATAATTTGAGAAAATCAGGAATTGACAAAAGGAATATGATCAAAGTCAACTTTAGCAACGTAAGGTTTGTTGCATACTGTTCTAGATTCATCAAAGATGCAACAATATCATCAAAACACCAACGAAATTCTCACTTGAGCTCAAAACAATGATCCTATTGATCACCTGTCAAATAAAACCCAACGATACCTGTGGCATATCTACTGCATATTTGATATCATCAAAAGTGATGTAAAGGGGTTCAAAAGGAAGATGTTGTAGAGCCATTCCTCGCTTCCTGGTAGGATCAACCTCACCAGTGCTGCCCACACTTGATGACCTTGACCTGGGCGATACGGTTTTCTGAACTTCATTTATCCTTTCTGCATATTTCAGTTGAATAAATTAGTAGGCACCCCTAAGTTCACAAATATAAAAACTTGTAGAACTTTTTGAGGCTGATGTTTGGAACTACGGCAGTACTAGAGTGAACACAAAGGACACTAATCAAACTGTATTAATTTACAACTAGACAATCATACACAACAAAATACATGTGACACGACAAATAATAATAATGTCATCACTTAAACCGCTCATATCACTTACACTCAGCTTTACCTAAACTTGCACACACCATATAAGGACCAAAGACCCCCTATATGCCCACGAAAGAGTTGGTTTATCACCGACTTGAAACGCCTGGAGATAATCAAGAGATCAAGACACCTACATTAGAGGGGGTAAAGATAACTTCTAAAATGCACCACTGTTTCACAGCCAGAACTAGGCTGAGATATTTTTCTACAGAAATATCTGGAGACTGATCTTGTAGAAAGAAATACATAGAAAAAAGTGAAAAGAGGATTTCAGAAAAATCTGCAGAATCGGTGGTGACTCTCAGCACTCCTCCCAATGCCGACGCTCCAGTTTAGTTTAGTGCCCACGCAGTCATACTGAGCTGCTTTCAAAACTTTGAAGGCCTGCCATTTGGTCATCTATTTTTCTATGAAGCACCTCATTCCCCTCCGGGATACTTCTTCAACAATGTTGTTTCTGTGATGTTGTTTTTCTTCAGGGAAAGCAGCATTTGCATATTTTCAGTTGGGATTTCAATGTTCTGGATATCTCTTGATTGATGGTACACTTTCCTCAATCTGTTCTTCCGTCGGACTCCTATGACTCACTAATTTTTCTAGTGTCTTCGTCAAACTAGGCTTAGGCTTTTACCAGCGTTGTTCATTCCTTAGACATCTCTAAACTTGGAGGTAGTACTTCTTCTCATGCTACTTCCTACAGATTCTCCTATAGTCTTCAACTACTCTCTTCATTCTCTCTTCAACAACATTCCCAAGGATCTAATAGCAAAATTTCGTTGCATAATTAAATTTTCATAAGAAATTAAATAATGGGCAAACCTCCTTGTTCGGTAGATATTAGCTCTCCGGTCTTGTTAGCATTTCTCTCAGGCAAGGTTTCTTCCGGCAGAACTGCATGAGGCTTCCCAAATGCTGCATCAGATCACCACATATATGTTGATAAGTAGACCGCCGTAGATTAGTGCAGTTGAATGTTGTTAGATACTTACGGTTGAGATAAGCTAGAGCCAAAGTACAGAGAAAATTAAATAGCAGAACATATCCAATCAGAGCTCCTACTCCAATCCAATACCACTGTGCTTCTGGAAACAGTGCACGAGACTTCAGGACTAACAGTCCCAATGGTTCTGTGGAATTAGGAGGAACCTGTAAAATGACCACTTCCATTAGGTGCTGGTGATATTACCCACAAAATCCATTTCCCAATTTTTTTTCCTTGTTAAACCCATATACTGAAAAATCATTCTTACATGCCTCCAACTCTTTCCAAGGAATTCATTCACAGCTATGGCATTCTGCCCATACATCACAGGTGAGATCCAGTAACCCCATAACCACCATTTCTGCACATCATCTGAGGGGCAAAATCATTTCTTACACTGTAATGTCCTTACATCACCAAGAAATATATGTATCTGTATGTATGTGTGTGTGCGTATATAGTTCTATTAGATTCACACTTTTTACCTCGTGACAGAATGAATCCACCCAGCACAAGAAATACAAGTATTGCAAATGTGCCAAATGTGTTTGCAACTATGATGTTCCTCCCTACTGCTCCTACAAAGCGGAACATTCCTGAAGCCAGCTGATTAATGCATAAAAGTAGAAAGAATTGTCTGAAAAACCTGCATTTATGAACATTTTTAAGATTAAAAACCTGAACAATTTTAAATGTTTAAAAGAGGTTACGATTCATTACCTTCCTAAGTCTGGATCAAATCCTATGACATAATAAGTCATACACACCCAAATGGCAACTTCAGCAAGAGAGACTGGGATCTTAAGGATCCATGTGGGTAGAGAGTATGCCCAAGCAGGAAAGAAGAGGAGGTCCCGTTGTTTGTAAAATACTGGAAGTTTCATAATGCTCATAGCAAGCTCTGCGAATCCGTTAAATAAAATTATGACGACCACGTAAAACAGAGCACCCATGAAAATCCCACCATCTGTTACTGTTTTCCTGGGCATCTCACTTCGTAGGAAGACTGTCATTGCTATGAAAGCCATGAAAATAAGCTGAAAATATGAAATACAACCATTAGTTTTTATTTTAGTAACTTGAAAGGTTTAAGCAACTCAAAATTTCTAGTGTTTAACGTATCATATATAAGGACTTGATGCTCTTACATGCAACTTACTTGTGTTATCTTGAATATGTAGACAAATGAGTTCCTCTTCATAAGCAAGTATTCTCTAGATATGCAGGCCTTCAATAGTTCTTTCTTGCTAACACCATACTTCGTAGTGGTTAGAGCAGCAGGGTGGCTCTTGGCTTTGTCAAATGGAACAGCAAGCTCATCGCCTAGTTTCTGGCCAACATGAAATGACTGAAACGCTTCTGCAAATTCTCTGACACTCACAAAGTTATAGGGTTTATCGTTGCATGCCCAATATTGCTCTTGATCTTTTCTTGATATCACCTATGGTTCCCAACCAAAAACATGTTAATAATTAGTCCCCACGCTTAACAATATGAGAAGGAAAATGTATCTGAAAGTTTCAATTACTTCTTGTAAGAAGTCTGCAACTCCTTTCCTATCAGGACATTTGAAGCCCATGCACTCAAAGAACTCTAGCACGTTTTCACGGGGACCTTGATACACGATTTGGCCATCTGACAGAAGAATTATGTCGTCGAATAGGTCATAAGTTTCTGGTGCAGGCTGAAGCAGCGAAATTAAAGCAGTTGCTTGAAGAATGTGGATGGATTGCCTGATTGAATTAACAATATGAGAAGTTGTTGAGCTGTCCAAACCAGTTGATATGTCATCCATGAAAAGTGCTGTTGCTGGCCCAACTAGCATCTCCCCTATATCATATTTGATAAGAAAAATTCGGACTAATTAACTAAAGCACATATTGACATGGCCAATGGAAATATTAATTACTCTAAATGCTTCAAAATTCAGGAATTTACCCAAACCAAAAGAAAATTTCTAGAAGACATCTTAAGCAAAACTAGGATAACAAAAAAACAAATAAACAACCAGTTAAAAAATATATTGGGGTGTGTGTTTATTCCATACAATGAGCTGCTTTGTGCTTTTACCTGTTGTGAGTCGCTTTCGCTGCCCTCCAGAAATACCTCTTAGCAGTTCATCCCCCACAAGGGTATCAGCGCATACTTCAAGTCCCAAAATCTGCAAATTGTTGAAACAGAAACAGTAGATATTCACATATCTTAACTCAATACAATTCCTCTATATTACACTAATTTCAAATAGGTACCTTGAGAATATAATCAGTTATAACACTGGTCTCCTGCCCTTCCAGTGATGCAGCCTATAGAGTTAAAAAAGTGAAGCTTTTTCAGAGATTTAAAGAGGACAATAGACAGGAAGCAAGCATGCATAGAATACTTCCTCACCTTCATGAAAAGATCAAGATCAGGATCTGGCTTGATGTTTGCTTCCTTCTCTCTCCTTGCTAATTCGGACAACATTTCTTCACATTTTCGAATTCAGATTAACTGATTTAGCACAAAATTTCTAAGAAACACGACTTAATCTGTCAGAATATGACAATGTTACTGACCATAACGGGTTCCAACTCCTTGACATCTAGCTGAAAAAGCCAATGTTTCTCTCACCGTCATCTCCCCTATATGAAGATCATGCTGACTCACATAAGCAGATGTCCTTTGTGGAACAAACTCATCCATTCCATGGCCGTTATAGGTTACGCTCCCTGAAACCTTTAGTTTAAGTAAGTACAGATACCAAATTGTAACTTGAAACAATTTGCCAGCCAAAATAATTGAATATATTAGATTTCTGTTTCCTTACTTTAAGATTTGAACTAAGTCGTCCAGCCAAGGCTAGCAGCAACGTTGTTTTTCCAGAGCTTGGTGGTCCTAACAGCAATATCATTCTGTGAAAACAGTGTTAGTGAAATGAGAAATGTGATTTTCTTAAGTTTGGGGCCTTTGGGCATGACAAAAAGGGTTGTTTAATAGGTGTATTATGGACAATTAAGAAGTATTGTCTTCTCACCGGCCGGGCTTGATGATTCCACTGACATCACGAAGTACTGGTAAGGGTTTCTTCCTACTTGGAAGAATATGAAGATAATTCAAAACTCCCTAGAGAGAAAGAGAGAGGGATAGATTTCAGAGTGAGTTTAATGTGAAGATAGATGTCAGCACACTGTTAAGTGAATTACCTCGTATAAATTGACAGAGAAGTTGCAGAGTGTGGGCAGTGCTCTACTGCCAACATAAGCTTCTGCATCCACATTTAAACGTTCGAACCGGACTACAACAGTGGGAAGAGAAATTCCAACTCTGTGTTAAAAAGAAACAAAAAAAAGGTAAAAAAGTTCAGATTCCCGAATCAGTTTACAAGGTAAAGACGCAAACTTCTAATGTTCCTGTTGGGATTACCGATCAATGCGTTCCTTGAGCTTTAACAAGAACTTCTCATTATCTTCGTCTGCAATTTTCACAAGCCTCTCTATCAGATTCTTTCTATCTCTTAGTCCGAGATTCTTTATATCTATTTCTCTTGGTTGGCCCTCTTCTCCAGCCAGTATGCCCCTCCTTATTCGAAGATAAGTTGGCAATCTCTCAAGAGCAGCCCATTTCAGTGCTTCTTCATCGTCTTCTTCTCGAGTAGATCTTGAAAAAACGTCCCCTCTGTTCCTCCACAAGCTAGAGCTATCTAAACGTGCACTACCAACTCTCAAAATACTGCCACCTTCCATTACTACCGTGTTAAGCTGCAGAACTCAGTCGGACAAAAACTCAAAAGTTTTTCTAGAGTTCCTTTGAAAAATAAGTGACTTCTTGAGCTCCATTCTTAAACTCTTATATCTGAAGGCCCAAAGGGTATCTTCTGCTCTCTCTCTTTCTTCCTCTGAAGGGGTCACTAGTAACACACACATGCACGCGCACACACATACACATCGATAACAATGTATATATCTTTCTCTGTTTGCTATGTTATTGGTTTACAGAGGGTCATAGAGTTTCTGAGGAATTAGTTGTGAGAAAACGATACAGAGAGCTTTTGACACAAACAGCGTAGCTTACATCAAAGTGCTGGTGGGTATTTGATGTTAGAGCTACTGGGATGACTAGTCATAGAGTATTAACTTAAAAATTGGATCAAATGATTTGCAGTGGGGACTAAATTGGGTTCTCTTAGGTCACCAACTTTTCTATGCTATAATCGCACATGGCGTAGCATAAGTGAAAAGGAACAAACACTAATGATCCATTTAGTACTATAAAAAAATGATAGTGTGAAAAGTTGGAAGGATGAAAAGTTTAAGTGATAGATAAAATATTATGTTTGGTAAGAAAAGAAAGTAAAAAATATGAAAAAGTGGATGAATTAATTTTCCTTCTAATTCACCAAAATCAATCCCTCCAAAATCGGAAGGAAAGTGGATAAAAAGTTAATTATTTGTGTTGAAATGCATATTATTTGTCTATATATATTATGTATACATTAATTTTATATCAAAATATAATGATAAAATATGTATATATATATTTAAAAAACAAAAAAAAAAATTAAAAAAAAAAAAAAAAATTTCATCTTAACTAGGGGTGAAAATTTTCGACACAAACACGACACAAATTTTATGAGACGAACTTGAAAATAACCTGACACGCGAATAAGAAATATAAAAGGCTCATAATTTTATAACTCAACACGAATTTGACACGACACGGCTCGATTGTCAACCCTAATCTTAGCCATCATAAAAAAAATTATTTATTTTTATTTTCATCTATTTAACCTAACACAAAAGAAGGAAAGTGTATCATTCCTACTTTCCATCATTGAAAGATAGAAAATATATTCCTCCTATTTTTCATCCTCCCTACTTTCCATCATTAAAAAATAGAAAAATGGAAAGTTGGAAAGATGAAAAGTTAGAAGGATGAAAAGTTGGAGGAATAAATAAAACATCATGTTTGGTAAAAAAAAGAAAATAGGAAAGATGGAAAAGTGAATCAAATAATTTTTCTTACAACTCACCAAAATCAATCACTCTAAAATCGGAAGGAAAGTGAATGAAAAATTAATTATTTGTATTAAGATGTAATTTATTTGTCTATATATTATATATACATTAATTTCATATAAAAATACAATAATAAAATATGTATATATATATTTTAAAAAAAAAATTTAAAATAAATTAAAATATAAATTAAATTAAAAAATAAAAATTTTTATCTTAACTAGGGTGAAAATTTTTAACTCAACACGATGACACGACTCGAACTCGACAAGAATTTTATGACATGAACTTGAAAATGACTTGACACTCGAACAAGAAATATAAAAAACTTATAATTTTATGACTCAGTACGAATCTCTCACAACATGACTCAATTGTTACCCCTAATATTACACAAAAAAAAATTAGTCATTTTTATTTTTCATCCATCAAACCAAACACAAAGGTATCATTCCTACTTTTTATCCTTACAGGATAGAAAGTGTATTTCTCATATTTTTCATTCTTCTTACTTTTCATCTTTGCTATCAAACGGAGTATAAGGATTCAATAATTCTTTTGTTTAACTTAATCATCCATTATTGAGAAAAGAACCAATCAATCACTATGATACTGATAAATCTATACAATCAAACACTAAGTTTATTGACAAAAAATCTACAATAATTAATTCACCCAGCCGATTGTTTGTAATCTTGTGCAGTACAGTATTCTCCAAAAAATGCGCATTACAGAAAGGTAATGTAGAAAAAAGATAGCAGAAAGTGGGTAGAAAAACAAATCTTCAACTTTACAGCGATGAGGAAAGTAGGTGCAGCAATACCCGCACTTTCCCACGACAGCTCGTGTGACAGCCAAATCCACAAGCTAGATAACAGTGAGAATTTTCCTTTTCCTTTTCACCAAAATTAATGTTAAGTTTAGAGTGGCATTGTTGGGTCAGCCAAAGTCTATGCACAGTCATTCGTTTGTCTGATTGTAAAGAAATGTGATAAAGAAAAATATTAAAATAATAATAGACAAGAGAGAGTTGATAGCGATTGTATACAAGTAGGTCTCTCGATTATTAACGAAGGATAATCCGTCAAAAACAGAACACGAATATAAAAATATTAATCCTTAAAAATTATTTTCTCAACAAAAGCTCGAATAAAAATTCTACAATATCAACTATAAATCAAACCATAAAAGTTTGATCTTTCAATTTGTATTTATTTTAGAAAGTTTAGGGTTGTTCCTCTGTCGGATAAAGGTTGTTTGACAATAAAATAAAATTAAAATTGTTTATACACAAGAATCCTTTCGAGCTGAGTTTGTCTTTACTTTAATTGAGTTTAGTGTTGATTTAACTGATTTCATATGCATAATGATATTAAAAAATTTAATCCAATTAAATTTATTTATATTTATTTTAAACATGTTTGAATGAATCGAATCTGAACTAAATCTAAATCAAACCTCAAATTCTAAAAGCCTTTTAGTGGCATTCTTTTTTATAGTGTAGTGGGAGCTGGTGGATCTAATCTAAGAAAGAGGGAAAAGAACAAGCACCTTAATAAACAATTTCTTCACTAGGCAACAAGATTGTCTCAGTGTATGATGATCTGTCCCATGTTTACAGATGCTCCATGAATATGCCAAGAATATATGTTGGTCAATAGCAGCGGCCGCCTGAGACATTTTGTGGCTTAAAGTGAAAATAATAATAAAGATTTTTTTATAATTTTTAATATTAATATTAATTTTTATATTTTTAAAATTGAAAAAATATTAATTAAATTTGTATATTTAAACTTTTGTTATCATATTTGAACATTAATGTAAGAGAGAGAGAGACAGAAAATGATTGAAAAATTATGATAACTTGAACTTGATTTTTCAGTAAATTTAATTTTACTGTTAACTTTTTTCTTTTTCTTTTTTTCAAAACATTAAATTTTAGGGCATTTTAATTTTATAGGCTTAATTTATTCAAGTTGATTTTTTTTTACGAAAAATTGTGAATAGGTACTTTTAAACTACTCAATTGTGAGAAAAATATTGACTAAAATCTTTTTCTAGATAAGTACCTTTAACTTGAAATTTATTATAGTTAGGTACTCATATTTTAAAATATTTTTTTCACTAAAATACTATTTTCCTTATTTGAAAGTTTGTTAGTTTGGCGGTCCTAATTTTTATGAGATTCAATTTATTATATTAATAGTTTCGTATTTTAAGGGATTGATTGGCCCAGATTTTGAAATTTAATTTTTTATATTATTTTTTAATGTTAAACGGCTTTGATTATTCTCAAATCTAACAACAGTGTCACTTTGTAACGTTACATTGTAATGTAACACTGCAATTTATTAAAAATAATATATGTGGATGTCATATTCCGTGATACATACTATTTAGATTGTATATAAATTGGTGAATATAATTTTACAACTTTTTTGTCAATGATTAAAATGTTAATGAAAGTATTACATTATCATGTATCATTGTAATGTCACACTATCGACAATTTGAATCAAAACATAAGAAATATCGGCATTTAATGGTACTTCAACGTTTGTATTTTTTTAAGTTGAAAATTGAAAGATTTTATAGCAAAATTATTATTTTTTTAAATTTGAAAACTCATGTTTAGAAGAATATAGCAGTTATCGAATTTAATGAGATTGTTGCATAATTTATAATAATTTCTTTATCCACTATTTGGGCCAAGTAATTATTATCTTTTGGGTATTTCTATCCTTCAAAAAAATACTTTTATATAAAATATTTTGTACTAAGTATTTTTCTACAATTAAGTGATAAATTAAATATCAATTCACAAAAAAAAAACCAATTTTTTTATTTAAATTTCATGTGAGAGCTAAAACTCAGACTTTATTAGGCATGATGACGATCGAGCCGGCCCTGCTCAATTATGTAAATGGTAATCATTTGGGTGTGTATATGAGCAAGTTCATCAAACCTTTGTTGTTGTCGAAATCTCTTGAGTGGGTATCAAATTCAGTCGAAATACTGACTTCAAAATGCGGAGAATCCTCCACGGCACGTTTTTCTTGCCGTCTTTTAACCTTTTCGTTGTCCTTATGTGAACGGATTTAATGTGGATCGAATTTTAATTAATTTTAATTTTAATTTTAATTTATTTTTAAAAATTTGAATTTATATGTATAAATCTAAATTCGTGAAATATAATATATCAAATTCAGATTCAAATTCAAATGATTGTTAAAAAAAATAATAATTTATATTTGATTATTCGGATTCGAATTAGAATATGATTCATTGATAGAATCCATCGCCCTTTACGTTCAACCACAAAATAATAAATTAATATTTTAATTTAAATAATAAACCTTTAATTGATGAAATATGTATTGTGGAGGGGTGGTGCTAGTAGTGGCTAACACCAAAGTAATATTAAATTTTATTAATTTAAAATTTAATTTTATAAAAATTGAGTTTCATTTTCATCAAAATTACATTCAATTCAATCAAATGAGCATTCAAACATTTAATATTCTATTTTATCCACATAATATTAAATTTTATCAAATTAACACCAAATTGATCTTCTATTTTATCAAATTGGCATTCAATTTATTCAATATAACATTAAATTTTATTAAATTAATATCAAAATAACATTCAATTTTTAATTAATTAACATTCAATTGATGAACCAGATTGAATAGTGATGTTGATGACTTTTTGTGTGTGTGTGTGTGTGAGAGAGAGAGAGAGTTGTGCTGATGACTTTGTTCAAAGAGAGAATAAAGAATATTTGAAGGACAAAATTGTCACTTAAGCATGGGCGGAGCCAATGCTGGCCAAAAGGCGCACTATCCCACCCTGAAAAATCTATTGTTATTATACATGTGTTAGGTTATTTTAATGGTGCCCACCCATGATCTAGTAGTGCTCACTCATGATGTTTATATTTATATTTATATTTATATTATTAGTCATGGCCTATTTGGAATTTTTTTCTCTTTGGAATTATTATATTGTTTAAGTTGATATTACAATGCTTTGTTTGAGACGTTTTCAAGTCTTAGTTTACAGATATCTTCCTTCAATAGCAATGCTATGTTTTGACAATTTTTTACGGACAAGTCTTTGATACAAAAAAAAAAAAAAAATGAGTACCGTACTTGCCATTTACAAGTTTTAAAATTTTTTTGTATAACTTTTTACACAACTCACTTTTTGGGTTTTGGAATCGATATTAGTAATTTTAAGATCAATTTTAAGTACCTCAAAAATGTTACAGCTTAACCCATAATTGATCAATTGTGAATACATTGAAAAAACTTATCGTGGTCAATTATAAATGGTTTCAAATTGCCCTCCTTTTTTATTTTTGCAAAAGGCTTGTAATTAATCTCTCGTTGTATTGTTTCAATTGTATACATTATGCTCACCGCATTTTGACATTTGTCTTTCTGCAAATGTCTAAGTATTAGATATGGTGTAATTAAATATCAAATGTATTATGTTATTTTTATGAATTGTTTACTTTTTTTTTTTCCAAAGCTTGTTAAATTGCCTGGTGAAGGCAAATACTATTTGTATTTAATTTTAAAACTTGGTACAAAGACCTAATTAATTATAATTATTAAATTAAATATGAATTTTATCTAATAGTAGAAATTATAACTCATTTAATGGTTACAATGAGTTCCGCCTTTAAATTAGATTACTATATCATTGCTGATGTATAAAATCGGGACACAATACTCATAATTTTTTAAAAAAAAGTAGAGCTGTTTTTATTTTTTATTTTTAATTTGGGTGGACTTTTCCTAAATCATGTGCAGGTTGAAGGCAGGACAAAGTTCAACAATAGGAATTTTGGCGTCTTATTCCACAATCATTTGAAGGAATCTTCGGTGAACTAAACACTAGTGTCTGGCAGTGTTAGAGTTCCAACAATTTATTTAGTTCATTAATTAATTATAATGTTATTTGGATCGAGTGCACAGCATGTTCTTTGGGGTGCTTACAAGCTATGAATATTAACTGTAAGACTAGTAATTGAATCGCGTTAGGCCGAATTCATAACGTGTTTTATATATATATATATATATATGTTGGTGTCTAGTATTTAGTCAATTCTAATCTAAATTATTTAATTAATGATGTCATATGCCTTGTCATTAACATAATCGAACACGCCTAATTCCAATACAAGTTTCTCAATTGTATTCGTTTATCCTGTTGCATAAATATGCAACTCAAGAAAAGATATGTTTCTATTCTTGTGAATTAGAAAGTATCAAGAAAACTTTTATATAAAAATATATTTATTGTGTCAGATTCAGGTCATTCATATTTGATAATAAGTTGGCCCAATTATTATTCCTGTTAAAAAAGGCCCTATCATTTTTTGGTTTATGTTGAAATATAATTGACCCTGACTCATTAATTTTGTATTGTTTTGAAATCATGTGTTAACTTGTCGTGTCTAAAATTACCACGCTTACCCCTCAACTATACAAACTCGGGTGGAGACTATTTCTAAAGTCTAAAAAGTAATCGAAAGAAGGAAGTTCAAGTGATAACAGAGACGAGTCGTAAATGTAAACGTCTTGTGTTCGAATGTTAGTAATCTCATGAGATTAAGTCATGATGAATTTATCTATCATAAATACCCTAATTTAAACATGAATGACTTGTCTTTGACTAGAATGAGGAGTGAATTGGTTGAGGTACACGTAAGTTGGTCTGAACACCCTTTAAAACCAAAAAAAAAAAAAAAAACAAAAAGTCTAAAAGGATGTCCTTCCTATCCACATTGAAGCTAAATTCTGTGATCCATCACTTCATGTAAGTTGTAACATTGCATCATTTAACATTGAGAGAAGCACACTGACCCTCCGGTGTCAAAGAAGCAAATTGTGGTAGCTTGGCCAAGAGGAAGTCACAAATACTGTGTTTCAATAACTTTGAAGTTGATGCATTATAACAAGTGTGAAAAGCATACCATAGTCCCTTTTAAGTTTTAATAATTTTGTATAATAGTCTTAGTCATTTTTATTTTCAATAAGTCATATTACAATTAAATCCTGTGTCCTATACCTTTCTCATGTTTGAAATTAAAAAAATTTTATATCAAAATCATTGCTCATTTAATCTCAATTAATAGAGCTCTGAAAAAAAATTATACTAATTAGTTAATATGTCATTCATGTTCCTCCCCCCCTTCCCCATTGCTTAAAATTTCTCATTTTCAATGCCTCGTATACAAATTCATTATATACAAAATAGATTGTAGAAGAACTCGAACATATGGCCTTTTTTAGTACAAACTTGTCATTTTGACAAAGAAAGAAGGGAAATTAGACAAAAACCTAAAAAAATAAAATAGGACACCAAGCGCATGAAACTCCTGTCATTACAAGGTATATAGGTTGGGTCAGATGGAAAAGTTGTCTCTGTGATTCGAATTTTTAATCTCTAAAATTATGATGAAGCAACCTTATTAATCTCGTTCTTTTATTCACGCTATCCGGCATTAGTTTTGCTTTTTTATTGCACAATATTCAGGAATTTACCAAAACAAATGTAAACAATTTCATGCAATCATAATCTAAACTTCTTATTTCATATAATCCAAAAGTACCTGAGGCATATCTACTGCATATCGGATATCTTCAAAAGTTATAGAAAGAGGTTCAAAAGGTAAAACCATTCCTAGCTTCCATTCTGGTTGTTCAATTTCACTAATATTCTCCACTCTTGATGACATTGATCTGGATGATACACTTCTTCTAACTTCGCTACCACTTTCTGCATATTGCCAAATCAGAAAAATACTATTAGAGACCCAAAAAATTTACAACCAAAGAACATTGATATCTTGCAATCACCCACCAGCAAAGCTCTTCCTTCTTGACCCTAATTCGACTACAAGCTCTCCAGTTTTGCTGGCATTTCTCTCAGACGAGTTTTCTCCTGATAGAATTGCCTGAGCCTTCCCAAGTGCTGCATCATAATAACCCTTTTATTGGGACTAAGCTGAACTCTATAGGCTATAATTTTTGAAAATGAATGATGATGAGACTTTTCTGAAATACTCCATGATGAAGACACGTGTTCTCGGTATTACCAAAACACTGTTGCTAAGATCAAGCACCATCGGCGTACAAGGTCCTCGCCCCCGAGGTATCCGTCATATAGGATCATGCATTCAGTATGTTTTACAACCGACACGTGGCCTCGATCTGATATGGTACCTCGGTCGGCGTACCTCCCTCGGTTCCGAGATGAGCCTTTCCTCGGTGCCGAGAGGTACCCCGTTCTGGACGCTTCCTCTACTCCAGGATAAGCTATTGACGTACAGGTCATTAGCCTAGGCTAGTCTAGGCTATTCATCATGACCTCGTCTTACACAATTAGTGTCAGAACGTACTAGAATGCAGGGGTCACAACCAATAAGGGATGGACGCGTGGCATATGATATCACATCGAAGACAGAGAAACCGCATGCCGTTGCTGACACGCGACTTGGGAAAGCAAACTATTAATTACACCATTCCCTTGATGAGACCGCATTCAATGCGGTAAGGGTCGGAAATGAAAGACAATAAATACTCCTAATACATAGCATTTATTGCATCCTCCCCGAGAGGAGTACATTGTACCGTCGGCATCCCGATGACCCAGCATTGATTGCTCGGGACCCCGAGCAGTTAAGAAGAGAAGACATTCCTCATCAGAATCAGTGCGCACACTGCCTGTACCTAATGATCATCTACTGACTACACTGACAGCAATCATGAGCTTTTGAGGTATAAATACTCCTTGCAAAAGGCAAGACTGGTATGCAACAAAAAACTCTTTACTACAATACTCACTCAGTGTTTTCTCCTTCCTCTCTCTTTCTAAAAGATTGACTAGATCGTCGGAGGGGATACGCCAGAAAACACTCCGGCGCCCTTCTAACTTGTTGTTCTTTGTTCCAGGAACCTCTTTCAGCCTTACTGGATCGTTCTTCCGTTCCCCCAGGGTCTCCCATTGCCGTTCCAGGTTACCATCGGACCTCGCAGGCTGTCCCAAGCAGCGTGTTTGGTCACTCAACCGGTTCACTCGAGTTCACCAAAGGAGAGATCTGTTCTCGTTTTTTATATTGTGCAGGATCTTGCACGCATAATCTGGCGCTGTCTGTGGGAAACGACTAGTTTTCCTCATTTTTTTCTCTATAAAGAACAGTGACCATGGTGAACACTCGACAGAAAGGGAAAGGACCCCATCAAAGGAGTCTCGAGTTACAAGTTCCCTGTCATCATGGAGGAAGGGATCACACCAATACAAATAAAAGTGTCTCTACTCGGTCAAGAGGGGTTACCCCTCAAACCAGTATGAGAATCAGGTCAGGGGGTCAGCCCCCTTGGCTCATCAGCTGGCGGAGGTGATTGAAGAAAAGTTTGGCGATAGATTACGTCAGCTGGAAAAGGACAATGTAAGCGTCCTAAGCCGGCTCAACGAGTTTGTCGCCTCTGGCGAAGGATTGAGGGATTCATTCCTGTCTCGTGGGCTTCCCGCCCGGGAGGCAGAAACGAAGGATCTAAGAAACCACCTAAACAACAAAGCAGAAAGCTCTAGGGCCCCAAAGCGACCCAGAGCTGGCGAGCATCGTCATGACAACCATTCAAGGAAAGCAAGGCCATTGGCCCTGGACGACCTCCGACGAGGTTTGTCTAGACGGAGGAAGGGAGATGAATCCGAGGAGGACTCAACCCAATCCACACGACGCCCAGGAAATGAGGGGCTTACCGATGAACTACAGGACTTCAGAAGGTATCCCGTCAGGGAAGAGATTGATCTCAGAGCCCGGTTAGACTCCAGGAGAAAGGGTAAGGCTGTCCAGGATGAGGCCGAGGACGAAGTCATACAAACACCCTTTACGAGGGAGATCAGTGAGATGGAGGTTTCAAGAAAGTTTGTCGTGCCGCGGTTCAAAACTTATGACGGGCGGTCCGATCCCGAAGCCCATGTCAGGCAATACAAGCAGATGATGTCCCTCTATCATTCGGACCAACGGTTTCTCTGCCGAGTGTTTCCTATGAGCTTGGGGACTCTGCGATGAAGTGGTTCGAGGCGCTTCCCCCCAACAGTATTGGGTCCTGGAAGGAATTGACTAAGCAGTTCCTGGCTCGATTCATTACGGGGAGTAAGCGCCCCAAAGACATTGGATCATTGCTGACCCTCAGACGGAGGGAATCCGAGACTCTTCGCCAGTACGCCATCCGATACTGGGAAGAGGTTAATGAGGTAGAAGGCTGCTCGGAGGTCATGGCAGCAGCATCTTTCCGGCTCGGCTTGGCAAGGGACACGGACCTGTACCGATCCCTGACCAAGAAGACTCCCTCGGATATGGGGGAACTAATGGCCCGGATAAACAAATACTCGAGGGTTGAGGACGAGATGGGAAGCAGCAAAGGCCGAGCCCTCCAATCTAAAAGAAAAGAGAAGGAGCGGGAAGATATTCCCCGAAAGGGATTGCTACCCCCTCCAGGGGGTTCGTCCAGAGGAGTTCACACTGTGTTCAAGGAACCCATCTTCAAGTTGCTCCATAAAATCAAGCACGAGCCGTTCTTCAAATGGCCGCCCAGGATGCAGAGCGACCCCTCCACCCGTGATCAAAAGGTTAGGTGTTCCTATCACCGGGATTTCGGGCATCGCACCGAAAGCTGCAGGGTGTTCAAATCGTTCTTGGAAAGATTGGTCCGAGACGGATATTTGAAAGAGTACATAGAGCCCAGGCCAGAAGAGAGACAAGCCCTTGCCCCGACCGAGGAACCGGACAACATCATAGATGTCATCCATATATGTCCCCTGGATCGCCCCACGTCCAAGGAACTCGAGTCCGACCTCAAGAGGGTAGCTTTTACGAGGAAGGTAGCCGAGGTTGATGTAGGGCCACCAAGTAAAAGGGCCAGGACGGGTGAGCTTGGCATTACATTCTCCGACGCGGATTTGACAGGCGTAGTGACTCCCCATAACGACGCCCTTGTCTTGACCCTGAGGATAGGGAAATTCGATGTCAAAAGGATTTTGATAGACTCTGGAAGCTCCTCGGAGGTGATGTACTTCGAAACTTTGAAACGGATGGGTCTTGGCCCCAAAGACCTCACCAAAGTCAGGACACCCCTCATCGGGTTCAACGGCTCATTCGCCCTGCCCGTGGGGAAAATCACATTGCCAGTTGTCACAGGTCCCTTTGTCATCGACACCGAGTTTGTTGTGATCGATACGGACTCTCCCTACAACGTGATTATGGGGCGAACATGGCTGCATGCGTTGGGAGCGGTGCACTCCACTTTCCACCAGAAATTAAAATTCGCCACGCCAGAAGGTATCATGGAGATCCGGGGGGACCAAGCGTCCGCGAAAAATTGTTTTTATTCAGCCGTTCGAGCCGGGGCGTTCAGCCAGGAGAAGGGGCGAGCACCGGAAGAGATTATGGAAAAATAGCAATTACAGTCCGGGCGTCCAGGAATGGATGACCCCCGGATAGACCCAACTGAGCGGTCGGTAGAAGACCTCCGGAAGGTGCCCTTGATAGAGGGAGAAGAAGAGAGGTATTTCCTAGTTGGAACCTCGATGCCCACAGCCGAACAAGAGGAGATGATCGAGTTCCTAAGGGGAAATACAGACGTGTTCGCGTGGAACGAGATGGAAATGACGGGGGTAGACCCCGAGATAATCACACACAGGCTGCATGTTGACCCGTCGCACAAGCCAGTCAAACAGAGGCCACGACGCATGGCCCCGCATCACACCAGCGCGGTCAACGAGGAAATCGACAAACTCCTGAAGGCCGACGCCATTCGAGAGATACAATTCCCAGAATGGCTATCTAATACGGTGTGCGCAAAGAAGAAAGGGGGGAAATGGCGTGTCTGCGTAGACTTTACAGATCTGAACAAGGCATGTCCCAAGGATGACTACCCCCTGCCAAAGGTGGACCAGCTGGTAGATGCCACAGCCGGATATGAACGAATGGACTTCCTGGATGCCCGAGCAGGATATCATCAGATCCCTCTCTATGCCCCGGATCAAGAAAAGACGGCGTTTATCACTCCGAAGGGAGTTTACTGTTACAAAGTGATGCCGTTTGGACTAAAGAACGCCGGGGCAACATACCAAAGACTGATGAATCGGATGTTCAAAAAGCAGATCGGCAACACCATGGAGGTCTACATAGACGATATGCTGGTAAAGAGCAAACGGAGTTGTGATCATCTAACAGATTTGGCGGATACCTTCTCCACCCTCAGAGAGTATGGGCTGAAGCTGAATGCGGCAAAGTGCATTTTTGGAGTGGAATCAGGTAAATTCCTCGGATACCTGGTTAGTCAACGAGGAATCGAAGCCAACCCAGATCAGATTCAAGCGATCCTGGACATCCGGAGCCCCCGCACTGTCCGAGAAGTCCAGAAACTCACAGGGCTGCACTTAACCGTTTCGTCTCACGCTCCTCGGACAAATGCAAACCCTTTTTCGGAGCAATCAAGAGTGCTGGGAAGAATATGTGGAGCCAGGGGTGCGAGGACGCCCTGGCTGGAATCAAGGAATACCTAAGGACTCTTCCAACCTTGTCCGTCCCCATCCAGGGGGAGATGCTGTTCTTGTACCTGGCAGTATCTGAGTTTGCGGTAAGCGGGGTACTTATCCGTGAGCATGAGCACCGCCAGAAGCCGATTTACTATATAAGCAAGGCGCTCCTGGACGCAGAGACAAGATATCTACCCCTAGAGAAACTGGCTCTATCCCTGGTCACCACTGCAAGGAAACTGCGGCATTATTTCCAGGCGCACCCAATCACTGTCCTTACCGATCAGCCCTTGAAAGCAATCTTGAGGAAAGCGGAACTCTCCGGAAGGATTTCCAAGTGGGCAGTAGAGTTGGGGGAGCACGACATTCATTTCAAACCCCGAACTGCGATAAAAGGTCAAATATTGGCAGACTTCATAGCTGAG